GGTATGGTACACACCTGGGCGTATTACAGGCCGTATGAACGCGCTACAAAACGCCCTACGGGGCATATTTGCCGCGCGTATCCATTGGGATACAGCCAGGTAGCCCTCGGAAACGCGCGTTTGTCGCAATTTTTTTTACTGCAAATCGCACATATTCGATATGCCTAGGTGTGAACCCAGCCTTATGGTTACTTAGGAGCTGGATGAAGGAAAAGTTAGCATGAATTCAGGCAGAAACTATCAAGCCTCCAAAAGGCTCTCTGGTCTGGTTCTCAGTTACTCGAGTCATCCTTAGATAGCCACTGAAAAAGTATGTGAACCCTAACAATGAGCCTATCTTGTTTGGTCCCCATTCTGTTAAATATACTCTTGAAAGTGGTTTATTCTGTGTATTTGATCATCCAAAAGAATACCTGCCTGAAATCTTGCTGATAACTTCCTGTGCTGACTGTTATCAGTTACATTGTTCTCAGCCATCTCGGAGGGCTACAGAACCCCATCCCTCTATGTTATGGAAAATAGGAGAAGTGCTATCTTGTTTCTGTTGTCCTCATATAGAAGGGTGAGTGACCGTTGTCAATCTAGGAGAGGAAGTGTGTTAGTGGCAGAGTCACAAGGTGGAAGTACAGAAGCAAAAGCCTGAAAAAAGAAAACTATTGAATCAATCATGTCGAACTGCAATATATAAAATGTGGTTCTTACTATTCAGATACGCTTCAACAACTCAATCGATGCCACTAAACTGCAGCTCAAAAAAGAAAGTAGATTAACAGTGTACTAAATCACTAGAATGCAATGTCTCTTATTTCCAAGAGAGAGGTTGAAGAGCTTATACATTTCACAGAAAAGGAACAAAGCATCTATCATTGTAACTAATGACGCGGCATTCTAAGAAACCTTATTCCTTAAACTGGCCAAACATGTTATAATGCCATCACATATTCTCGTTTAGATATAGCAAATGTCATGTGAAGATTTACCTCAAATTCCACTCAATTTGTATCCAATAAGGCAGGACCTTGTGATACGTAGTTGTTGGTAGACCCAAAGGCGACTGTATAATCAAACTGTATTTTTATGGGCAGCTTTAGAACTGGCTTAGACTTTCGCTAAAGGGGTCATTTGAGTAGCTGCGTAGTCAAAATTGAAAAAAGTACATTTCACCGGCGCCAGCACCTGCGACTGTTCGTGAACACAGCCCAAGTACACTCATGAGGCAGCTCCCACTGGTCAGGGTAAAACCGGCAAATCTATGAAATACAAAAACAAAGGAGCGCCTCCATAGTGTAAAACAGTTTTAAGGAAGAAAAAAGAACAGCTAGGATTGTACTTACAAACAAACGACTTTAGAATTCAGGCATGTAGGTTCTGACGAAAGGGGTGTGGCCTCTGAAACGCGTCAACCCGTGGAAGACTTGCAGTTAGAAGGCTCTGGCGCAGCACTAACTTATTTGAATTACAACTCTGTGATATCGTTCATCCAATTTTACATGCCTGAATGCTAAAGTCGTTTGTAAGTACAATCCTAGCTGTTCTGTTTTCTTTATTAAAACTGTTTTACACTATGGAGGCGCTCCTTTGTTTTTGTAGCTGCGTAGTCAGTGCAATGCAGCTGGAACGCCCCCCTCCCCACCAATGGTACTTATTAAGATGAATTGAACCCTATGAGCAGTGGTCATACTGGAAGAATGTGCTTATCTCAAAGTGTTTCAATGATACTATGTTTGCATCAAACTGCCGGATGCAGCAGAGATCAGTTGCTCCATGTCTCATTACACCTACTCTGGCAGGTCCATAACTACGTGTGATAAGGCCCCATAGCAAAACCACTAAGGGCCCACCCTTTCTCTTTAATCTCTATCTCAATGGTATTTCTCTACTGCTACAGAATACACATTGCTATGTTGGCAATCAACATATTGCTGCTAACTTTATACACATTTATTTTTTATGCCAAATGCTGTTGCTCCCTGAATAAATAACTGTGTAGCCTGAATGTTTTGGGCCCCATAGCAGCTGCACAGTCTGATGTGGCTGTAGATACACTCTTATAACATAGGAATCAATACTAATATTATTGCGGCAGGAGTTCTGCTTTAAAGGAGAACTATGGGGTAAGAGTTTTCCCCATAGTTCTCTTAAGGGTCACGGGAGGACATATACTAGCGTCCTCCCGTGACCCAAAGCTCAGTATATCGCGAGCTACGGCTCGCGTATACTGAGACCGCCGCAGCCGGGACGGATCCCGACATTACTGTCGAGATACACCGAGCTGCGTGATTGACAGCTGGCTCTGCCTATCTAGCATTTCCATGGTGCAGGCAAACTGAGCACCATCACCATGGAAATGCATGATGCTAATTCAGGACGGGCTGCATCCAGGACCTTCCCAGCATTCAGAAGAGAACAGAAGTCCGCCTCTCTCCAGGCCGGCTCCAGCTTCCACCGTCTGCCATGCTGGCACAGCCGCACCGGAGGGAAGATTATACGGGAGGACTCTGATATATAGGGAGGCTAAAACACAAAGTCAGTGCCTCACAAATAGCAGTAGTGTTGTTAGCCTGCCCGTGCACTCCTTTAATTGGCAACCAAATGATCGATTGCACATGACAGGCTGACAACACTGCTGCTAATTGGTTTATGGTTGTCAGCCTGAAACAGGAAGTGATGTTACCGGCAGGATCACCAGGTAAGAGACTTTGCAACAGATTATCAACAAACTGATTGTTTAAAGTGTATGCAAACACAAAAACAGTTTTTCCAGATTTGAAATTCTGTTGCAACGTTTTTAGCTGGTGATCCTGCCAGTAACAGAACTTCCTGTTGCCAGCTGACAACGCTAATCAGCAGCAGGGCTGACACCCTGTCATGCACACTCCTTCAGCTGGCCAATGGGCTGCCTATCAGGTCTATCAGATAGGCCAACTGAGAGAACATACACAGCACCCTGCACAATGCTACTGCTCATTAGGAGGCAGTCGCTTAGCATTACCAGCCTGCAACAGGACGTGCAGTTACAGGCAGGACCTCCAGGTAAGAATCTTTGCATCAGATTGCCAAAAACATATTTGCTTAGCAACCCTTTATACAGTGAGACATGATGCTAAACATTCTAAAAAAAAAATGCTAAGGCTCCATTCACATATAGCGTTTGCGTTTACTGCACGATTTTCCATGCGGGAGACCGCGCGGCACACAAATGCTAAAATCTTTACAACTGCATGGATTAAGCTCCTTCCGAATGTGCGGAATCCATCAAAAAAATCACGCTTGGACTATTTTGCGGGCCACACGGTTTCGTACCGAGCGGCCGTCGCAAAAGTCTGAACAATGCACATTGAAGTGCATTGGTTATTATGTTTAGAGCAGCTCCGCGAGTATTCAGCCGAACACGCGCGCACAACCGCTCCTGTGTGAATGGAGCCTAACAAGCTAGCAGGCCCTCATCTCCCCCAAAGTTTACTTGCAGACTTCCTTTTCCCTCATGATCTGCTTTGCAAAAGTTTGAAATGTATCAAAACCCAAAATGAAAGAACTCAGAATTTTGGAAAATGAACTCTTGCAGTGGGGCTTCCCCTACTGCAAGGGTTAACTGTTGTTTTTCTCTAGGGGCGAAAAGGAAGAAAGACTCACCCGATCCTCTGTCCCACCTACCTGGCTGGTTCCCCGCAACCTCTTCTCCCCTGGGCTCCGGCATCCAAAGACATGCTGGAAGGTTAATTGGCTCCTCTCCAAGTTGGCCCTCTATGTATGCATGCGAGATAGATTGTAAGCTCCTTGAGGGCAGGGACTGATTTGAATGTGCAATATGTAAAGTGCTGCGTAAAATGTTGGCGCTCTATAAATACCTGTAATAAATAAATAATAAATTCTAAAGGACCCATGATGTCATCACGTCTAATACAGGTCATTTAGACGTGAAGACGCCAAGGGACATACAAGAGCCAGAGTGTAGGGGAAAAGACGCTGTGGGGACTGTCAGCCAGGTGGGACTGAGAATCAGGTGAGTATATCTTCTTTATTTTCTCCCCTAGGGAAAAACTTAAGAGTTCTTCTTTAAAGTGTATGTAAACTCTATGGGCTTGTTCACACCATTCATATGCATGCAGATGCGCTGCATAAGTCAATACCACCCCAATGCACCCGCCTAGGGATGTGCATTGCAATATGCATGCAGATGCGCTGCATAAGTCAATACCACCCCAATGCACCCGCCTGGGGATGTGCATTGCTGCATAACATGTTGCAGTGCACTAATGTGCGGTGTTATGCTGAAAAAAAAGTACATGCACAATTTTTGTAGTGTGCAATAATGCATGTCCCCAGGCAGGTGCATTGGGATGCCACTGAACGGTAGCACACGTTCTGCAATAGCACAGCGCAATGGTGTGAACAAGCCCTCAGGGTTTACATACACTTTTAAGATTTTGGATTTGGATACATATTAAACTATTGCAAAGCAGATCATGGGTAGAGAGGAAGTCTGCAAGTAAACCTTCAGGGGGATGGAGGGGAAGGGGGTGTTGGGTGAGTTACTGCTTCTGCTTGCACACCAGCGCAGATCATGTCCTCCATTGTGCCTCCCTCCAATAAAGGATGCTAGCCTGTGTGCCTTTCAGCTCTCCCTCCTCCTAATGCCAGACTGGGAGCCTTTTCCTGTCTGTTGGTGAGCCTGCACTCCCCCTCTCCGTCTCTTCTCCCTCCTTGTGAGACACAGTCAGGCTCCCATTAGACGGGGAGGGTCTTGGCCACGGTTCGAGCCCAGCCGCATTCCTGGGATGCTTTGTGAATGTGGAACTTAGGCAGCGATGACGTCACGTTCGGCCGTCTCCTATATAAGAAGGAGGGAGCCCGGAGCAGCTCAGAGATCAGAGGCACCAACCCAACTTAGAGCAGCGAAGGAGAGACTGGAACCAGTACAGCACAGGCACTGCGACCAGTCCTAAGCATAGCACTCACAACTAAACAAGAAGGAGCTTCTGCAGACTTTTCCAGCACTTTTGATTTCTTTTGAACTTAGAGGAACTATGGCTTTCCTAGGAATGAGCCCTCCTTTGATCATGGTCATCCTCACTGGACTCATAGACTTGGTGAGTATGCTTTTTTAAAGTTGCAACAAAAAGTTTCAAGGGGTTTTGCCTTGTGGGGGAGCATGCCATGATGTCTCTGCTCATGGGTTAACAGTGCTTTTGTCTTTCGTCCCCTAGGCGTTCTCATCCTGCCCAGCTGTGTGCCAGTGTCCCCTGGAGGTATCCAGATGCGCCCCGGGAGTCGGATTGGTCCTTGACAGCTGCGGATGCTGCAAGGTGTGCGCGAAACAGCTGAACGAAGACTGCAGCAAGAGCCAGCCCTGCGACCACACGAAGGGGCTGGAGTGCAACTTCGGGGCAAATTTCAAAGCTACCAAGGGCATCTGCAGAGGTAAGTTCATTTCTGGATTCTCTTTACTTCCTTTAAAACCCCCCAACTGGCAGAACTGGTCCTTACTGGTCTATCTAGTCAAGGAGTTTAGGGAATCTCAGTCCATGTATGGTTATGCTTTGTTGATGCTAGCTTGGCAGAAAGACACATGATTTCAGCAGTCTGGAATGCAATTCAGTGTCTGGGTCTAGCAAAATGAGCAAATTATTATTTCCGTGATTAACATTAAGAGTTCTGATCTTGTTTACGAGGAATCTAAACTTTTTGTTATTTTGCCTCCTTTGCAGCAAAGTCTGAAGGAAGACCGTGTGAGTACAACTCCAGGATCTACCAGAATGGAGAAAGCTTTCAGCCTAACTGCAAGCACCAGTGCACATGCATAGACGGAGCTGTTGGCTGTCTGCCTTTGTGCCCTCAAGAACTCTCCCTGCCCAACCTGGGATGCCCAAATCCAAGGCTGGTGAAGGTGCCAGGGCAGTGTTGCGAGGAGTGGGTTTGCGACGAAGCCAGGGACACAGCCGACGACATCGAAGACTTCTTCAGCAAAGAATTTGGTCTGGATGCTAATGAAGGAGAGCTGACCAGCAAGAACGAATTCATCCCCATTGTGAAAGGAAGACACAAAATGCTTCCTGGTAAGTTTTTTTTTACTTTTTTGTTTCCTCAACTGCTTTTCAAGACCAGCTGTCATTCTTAGAATTAGACAGACAGCACGGTGATTGATTGACAGCTGTCAGTATTGCAGATAGGGAGCACATGCAGCATGCTGTTCTGCATCGACTAAGCATTGCGTTGTCTCCTTTGCAGCATTTGGCTCCTATCCACACTCCCATTTTGTCGAGACCCAGAAGTGCATCGTCCAAACAACATCTTGGTCTCAGTGCTCCAAGACTTGCGGAACTGGCATCTCTACCAGGGTTACCAATGACAACAAAGATTGCAAACTTGTTCGAGAGACCAGAATCTGTGAGGTCCGGCCATGCGGAGAGATAAATCACTCACAATTAAAGGTAAGAGCCTTTGCATTCTAGTGACTTCGTGCACTATTGCTTGCTTTCTTTTTTTCTCTTTATCTCTCTCTCTCCCCCCCCCTCCTTCTCTCACTCACCCTCATTTTCTCTTTCTCTCTCTTCCCCTCTCTCTCTGTCTGTCTGTCTCTCTCCTCATTCTCTCCCTTTCTCTCTCTCTCTCTCTCTCTCTCTTTCTTTCTTTCTGTCTCTCTCTCATTCTCCCTCTCTCTCTCTGCCCCCCCCCCA